GAATCCCTACGAGATAACAAGTGTGTTGTGTTCAATTATTTTGTTCAACTGATACACTTCATGTGTATACCTGTTAATTTTACACTTCTAAATAATGAATACCAAGCACACAGACTCACATGTTTTTGTATTGGTTCAAAGTGAGAAGTTATTTTCAGAACATGTCTCATAAGAAAGACAAGACAAGGCCCCTTTGTTAGCATGTTCTCCTTTGCCTGTCAAGATTTTCATGTCAACCATTTAAACGATGTGTCTCCAATTTCAGAAAACACATTTCCATGAAAAGAGCATGCTTTTTGACACTTGATTTGATTAGTATCACTAGCATATTTGCCAGTTTTCTGTTAATGCCAATGCTAGAATCTTTCAAGTTGAGGAAAAAGCCCTTCATAGCCCTTCAAAATTCATTCAGCTTTTTTTTCTGCTTGCTGACTTTTGTTGTTTTCAGGGTTAATTCTTCTGATGTGGACTTTAAAGTATATCTTTGGACAAGCTCAGTGGATCTTGAGATTAATATTTTTGCACAATTAAAAACCTGCAAGATCATGAACAAAGTATAACCTTTTCTGCTTAATTTACTCATCATTATAACTTTTTTCAAATGAGTTTCAAACAAAATATTGTAGAAGCACAGTATTAAGAACAGAACAGTATTAAACTGTTATTATACCAATATTGGGTGGCTGTAGAGAGACAGTGACCCGGTTGCTTTTCTTTTTTGGAGGGAGACCAACGACCTTAGCTAGATATTGCAACACGAGGATGTTGAGCCACTTAGGCACCGCACGGTACTGGCTGGAGCTGAACTGCAGGTTAGTTACAAACACCGTCTCCAACAGGCTGGCCACCATCAGAGCGAGGCTGAGGGCGAATAAAACGTCTGCAGGAAACAAAGAAAAAAAAATAGAAATGGAAAAGGAATGAATAAAGAGAGCTCTGTCATTCGGACTTTACTCTTCATGTTCTATCACTCACTGATGAGAGGTGTTGTTTGACAGGCAGCAAGACGTGTGTCATCTACGTAATGAGGCCAGTCAAGTGATTCTATGATAATATTATTGGATGATGTGGCCATTAAATGGAGAGAGACCTCAGGGCACCTACGTTAAGTGTAAGTCACAATGGATCTAGAAATATATTGTATGTATCATGTCTGTGTGTTCAAAATGTGCGATTACACCTCTGAAATAGAAATATGGATTTGTGTGTGATTCAAAATGTTAACGCCTTATTGGGTCACAGAGGAGTGCTACTGCTGTCTCTTCAAACAGCTTCGATTTAAGCTACTTCGTACTGTACATTTATAGACATTGATAGAATCTTTTGAGACTTTGTTGGTGTTTGTCCTGCACTATACGAGCATGTATTGGGCTAATCTTGCTTCCACTGAAAGAAGTTTGCATGCTTCTTCAATCTCCCTCTTGAATCAATTCAGTACAGTATCACTCAAAGTACTCACTGATGAGAGGTGTTGTTTCCCCGGTGACAGGCAGCAGATCATTCATGATGAGGAGGAACACTGTGTATCCCAGGATGAGCGTCATCTTGAAGGAGCCCCGGTCCACACTATGGGGGGGCAGAAAAAAGCTGAAGAGGTCCACTGTGACGAGGAAGCAGCTTGGGATCAGCAGGTTCACCACGTAGATGATCGGTCTGCGTCTTAAAATGAACTTGGGGTGAGACACAAGAGCAAAGACAAAGGTTTTAAGCAAGGCTTTTTAAACTAAATATACATCTTTGTCATAGTTTCACATGCTTTTTCAGGGGCCCCTTAGGAGAATTGGTGGTCATGAGGATCCATTTTTTGCCCCCCTTTGCTCTCTTCTTTTTTATATGCTTCTACAAAAACATAAACCCCCTATGTTTACCTCTTATTTATTTTAAAACAAAAAAGGTCCACTTTCATCTTGCCTGCTTTTTTGGCATTGACACATTTTCATTTTTTTTTAAGATTTATTTTTGGGCTTTTAATGGAGAGATAGGACAGTGGATAGAGTCCGAAATCATGGAGAAAGAGTAGGAATTACACGTGGGAAAGGAGCCACAGGTGGGACTCCCGGTCCGGCCACCTGGAGGACCACAGCCACCATGCATGGGGCGCGCGCACTAACCACTGTGCCACCAGCACCCCGGCATTGCCACATTTTAACATCTACTGTGTCATCTTTTCACTGACTGATTTCACAAAATAACAATGGCAAATTTCTGACATAAATCACATAAATTACATTGAAATTCTTCACATTGTTTGTGGTATCACAGCGTATTAAGAAGTGATGTTACACAGCTAAGTACTGGTATTCATAAGGTGGATACAGAATAAAATAAAGTGCTTACATAGAATTTGATCTCAGAGAAGCTTCCCTCTGTTATCTGCAGAGTACTTGGAGCTGCTTTTATATCTATAAGCTCCCATTCCCCTTTTGTCTTCAACACGTTTAAGGACTCCTTCAGGATTTCTTCAGCTGTGCGGCTTTGAATCAATGTTATGTCTTGAGCTGGAACAGATTTATGTAAAAAAAAAAGAAAATAAGCCTTAACATTGTTTTTTTTTGGTAAAGCCCTGCTGCAAAAGTAACAAGTGTATTTAGTTTTAATTTTTTTTTTGCTGGCTTACCAAAGTGTAGAAAGGGTTGAAAAGTAAAGGAGCAGTTTTGCATATCGAAGGGGAAAGTGTAGATGACTAATTTGCAGGTGTTGACCACTCTCAATGGTTTATCATCATGTACAAGACCTGTGTTGTATAAGTAGACATAAGGAGTTCTGGGAGATACATCTTCATCCATGCTGAAAAAAAAAATAGAACATACTTTAAAAAAGAAACAAAAACCTGCATAGGTCACATATTCTACTCCTTTTAAACGAGTTGAAATAAATCTCTGAGCTCCCCAAAACATATTAGTGAAGTTTCGCCTCTGATCCTGTATGTTATCATGCCTATAAACCCCTCTATTTCAGCCCTGCTCAGAACAGACTGTTTCTGTGGGAGTGTCACCCACCTGGGGGAGGGGTTATGTGCCTTTGTGATGTCACAAAGGGAAAATCTCCAAACAGTTTGCTTGAGCACACATTTTATGAAAAGTGGAGCAGGCAAAAGACGGAGGGGACTTTTCTAATGATTGGGGGGTTTGTAGACAGGGACACATATTAGTGTTTCAAAACCATGGTAAAGTGTACTTTGCATAATATGTGACCCATAAGACTTTTGTTTGTCATTGATAACTTACTAAACCATTAATATTTCAAACTTGGTACAGTTCTTACCGAAGCTTTTTAGGATTCATTTAAATTGTGGCAATTTGATAGAAATAAGAAAAAACGTAAAGCAAGCAGCCCAACAACCACTGTTTAAAACATATATTTCCTAAATATGGTTGAACAAGTTAATAGACCACTGAACATCCTTTTTAACTTACAACTCAGTGATGAGAATGTCAGGGATCCAAAGGTGTTCCCGAGGTATAGAGACCCTTTTAGTTCCACATTCCTGCTCATCCCAACTTAGTCCCTCTATTCGCCACTCCTAGGGTAAACAGATGAAACTCATGGGGTAATCAGCATAGAACATGTTTTGTTTTGTTTTGTTTATTAGGATCCCCATTAGCTGCAGAATGTCCGCAGCTATTCTTCCTGGGGTCCGCAACAACCATGACAGTGTGACTGCGTCGTCTTACAACTTAAAAACCAACATAACACTCATTAACATAGATACACAACATTCAATATACAGCTTACATCCTAACACATAACATTACAGTACTAACAGACGTGACAAGACATGAACACACTGAACACAATGACAGGGTGAGGACAGCTTCTAACAAATGCCCTCCCCCCTTCTCCCACATAACCCAGACTCTCATCAGCCCCACAGTCAGAAAAACATCAAAGTAATGTGAATGCTGAACTGTTCTTTATGCGTTACATTAACACCCACTGAACTTTAAATTTATTTTCCTTACATGCACTCTGTGAGTAGGTTACATACACTGAAAGACTTTTTTTTCTCATAGTCCACTGCACAGCTCCTACATTGCACCTTTTGTACATTTTTGTGTCTTTTATTTATTTTATTTTATATTTTACATTTTTTTATTATATTTTATATATTGTAATAGCTTCTTCTACTGTATTATTGAAGTTGTTGCTAGTTCTGCTTTATTTCCTTGTTAATTGTTTAGCACCAATACACCAAGTCAAATTCCTTGTACGTGTAAATGTACTTGGCAATAAAACCCGATTCTGATTCTGATAATGATAATGCGATTGTTCATTTCATGGCAGTGGCATTTGAACCTGTTCAGTTCCTCTGTACTCATGCTACTGATTAATTTAAAGAATACATGTATATATGTACATGTACCTTCAAAATGCCTAAATATAAACACACATAAATAAATATGCAAATACAACAATCAAACAATTACAATGTGAAAGCATTTGAACTGTGTCACTAGATACTTAAGGATGAATCTGTTTCTTTCTCTCAAATATTATTGTTGTCAGTCAAACTTATGAAAAGCCAACAACAGACAACATGGATCCTGACAATCTACTACCACTAACTCACTTACCCTTGTCTGAATCAACCAGCCTGACCTGTGGTTTGATGACTCTTTGCTCAGCTTCATTTGGCATTGTTTCTTAAGCTTGTTTTGACCCTTTCTTTCATTTTCTTCTAAAAAGTATCTTGGACTTTTTACCAGTCTGGAAGTCAAACTTTGAGTTGAAGCTTGTTTTATTGTATTGCATGATATAACGACCTTACAGCTTTACTCTTTAGGACATGCCAAGTGTCTATTGTCATGGCCTTTTTCTCTGTACATCAAAAACAGTTTCAGAAGTACCCTCTTTAAGATGATTATTTTCTGAGGTCTGAAAGCTTACCAGGGTTTGCCATATGAATATTGTCAAGGTCTGGACTTTTTCATCCTGGGGATAAGACATGTTCATGATCATGAATGACAAAATCACGGCTACTCAGTGGATACAGTTATACATGTTAATGAGCAGGCATGAATAAGAGTATTGCCTAGCTCATGGACTCACCACTCCTAACAGTCCCACCAGAGTGAGGTCAACCGATACATTCAGTGTATCTGTGAAGCGTTTTACAGGTCGCAGCAGTTTTTTGGGAAATAATTCTGTTTCAAGTGCGCGAAACAAGGATTCAGGTGATGGGCTGCTGCAGTTTAATGCTGCAGCAAAACCTGAAGTCAAACACAGAAAGTAGAATCAAAATTCATGATTATGCCAAAACAAAACATAGTATACTTTTAGGTTTGGCAGATATGTCTTTGTATGCTGTGTAAACAATTGGAAAACATGAACATTTTTAACAAAATGCTTTGTATCAGATGCAGGTAATACATTGGAATACATCAAAGTGGCTCAAAAGTGAATTCATTAGGAGATACTGAGATAAACTTTGAGGTTTCTTATTCATTTGATATCTTTGTTTTCAAGAACCAGTTGGGGTTTCAGGTCACCCCTTAGTGGGTAAATTACCCTCTTTACATTTTGCCTTGGTTCTCTCATGCTTTTTAAGGCTGTAAAAATGGTCAGGACTCAACTGGAGATTACTAGTTGAAATGTACGACAACGTTCACAAGAAGATCCTCATTTCAATGCTGGCAGCTTGCTGCTCTTCTGATATTCCCCTGCAAACTCTCCTCGCGTTTCGTAACTCAACAGCACAAGTGTTTCTCCTCTCTTTCCTTGTGAAAGTTTTATTTTATGTCAATAACAATTGCATGACTTTTGTGCAAAAAAAAGATTAAATTAACACAAGTTATTCGCATGCTAACCAGCACACAAATGAGCATGCTAACTCACTAAACTAAGGTGTAACCATAGACTGTAAATGGGTGTAACACATGGTAAACACAAAACCTGCGACACATCAGCATGCTATCATTGTCAATGAGAGTGTGTTAGCTGATGTTAGCACTCAACTCAAGCATTAACAGCATCATCAGCGCTGCTAGCATAGTTAAAGACTCTTTATTGACACGTGTGCCTCTCAGCTTAAAAGCTGCTACAGGTTACTTAACTGTTAACATAATTAGGGTTGTAAAAAGCAGGTTTATCATTCTGTAAAAATAATAAAATAATCTCACTTTTATTTTATTTTTGCTCAAAGTTTAGTGCATTGTTTTACTTGAATTCTTTTTACTTTTTATGTCTTACTTGAAAAGAGTGAAGTCCACTTCTTTAACAAAACTCACTACATTCTTTTACACCTTTTAATTAATGTGTGGAATGACTTTTGCAACTCTTGCAAATATGTACGATATGTTCAAAGGTTAAGGCAGCTATAATCATATCATAAAATGATGCTATATTTGTTATTTCACTTTTTCTCTTGAAAAATTGACCAGTGAGATTTTTTATGTATAGTTTTCATGATGAGGCTTATGTATTCTTAATACTAACAAAAGTCTCTTAGAATATATCCAAGTTAAAGCATCAAATCAAGTCAGCTGGCCTTACTTCAGTTTTCAAAAGTTTCCTTTTCATTGAAGTAATTTAGAAGATTATAACGTTTTTATTTCTTACCTTGAAGCAGTGACAGACAGATGAAGATGAGCTCAGCTGTCTTTACCTCAGTCATCTTGTGAGTGTCAGCTTCCACAAGAAGAAACAAAACTTCAACAGTTTACACTAAAGGTCTGTCAGTTGTCCAATTGGCAAAACCCACTATATACTTTTTTCTCTGTGAATTGTTTGCGCACATGCACACTTTAAAAAAAAAAAAAAACCAGTCAAACAAGGATGTCTGCTGCTTGTTGTTTTTGAAATGTCATTTTTGACTTGTGCAGTTTTCAAACACTGAACGCCTTCAGCTAAGCATGCAATAAATCTGATTCTGTGCTTATATTTGCGTCATACACAAAAAGCCTCAGCTAAAGGACATTTGTTTTATTACAGGTATAGTGGTTAAAACAAAGTGGTGATGCATCCCTCCATACAGTTTAGTCAGCAGTTTTTAAACCTTTCTGTGTAAAAACATTCTAAGCTCTGCACTCATGTTCACTAATTTATCTGAAGGAAATCAGATATTATCATAGAAAGCAGGTTGATTCTTGTGTGTTGAGTACTCGTTTGAATAAACAATGCAAAGTATGAATGAGTATTCCTTTTTTTGTGTGAGAGTTTCATATGTCAGAGGCCAAGTGCGTCATGTGCTTGAGGGGAAACAAACAGAAGACTGAATGCTTGTTCAAACATGCATATATTTAGCATATAATTAGCATGGAAGAGGATTAAAAAAAGTCAATTCAGATTTCTGTATGCTTAAAATAACTGACAAGATGTTTAAGATTGACTTTTAACTAGTCACAAAACTTCCCAAAGCCAATAAAATCAAAGTTATTTTTGGAATAGACATTAACAATACTCAAATCAAATTAACTTTATTTATATATAGCACTTTACACATAACACAGTTGATCCAAAGTGCTGAACAGCGCAGATAGAAAATAAACAAAGCATGAGAAAGTAACAGATAATAGATGTTTTTTGAAGAAGTTTACGAAAAAAAAATCCATGTTCCAACATGTAGCATAGAAATCTTTGATGTTTATGACTGATTCAAGTGACACATAATACATCATTTTGTCAATATAATTCTGGGACATTTAAACCTAATGCGATACAATATATTAATCAGGACAAATAAAAACAGTGATGGAAAACTTGAACGTAAACTGGTTGAAATACAGTGTTCATAGATGACAATTCTCAACAGTATTTTATTCTACAGTCAGATCAGCAGCTTTCAAACTCTTGAGTGTTAATTGTTACTCATCCATCCATATGTTGTGAGACGTAATGCAGCGGCTTGAAATGTATACATTTCTAGAAAGACAAAATTGGACTATATAATTACATAATATGAAGGTGAAATAATAAAGAATAACTGTGATAGTTGAAGTTGAGTTTTATGAACAAACGTTGTCAGTAAAAAAACACAAAATCCAACAAATTAGGAGAATAAAATCAACTCAAAACTAATTTAGGATATGTTGTATGACTGCAGCCAGATAACAGTCATGGTAATGAAGCTGACTAATATGAAGAGGATGTAGAGGCCGAACAGCAGACGGTCTATAATAAAACCCACCTGGATCCAATCCTCTGAGCCCTGGTTTCCATCCAGCTGCTGCTTCAGCTGAAGGTGGAAGTCCTGGAGATCCCTTCCCAGACTCCTCAGCTCCTGCAGGGCCTTGTCCTCTTCAAGTGGTCCTTTCTGCTCTGGAGCCTCCCTGCCCTCTGCCACAGGAGAGGGCTCTTTTATTTCTGTAGCAGAAGAGTTGAGGAAGGAGGTCAATGGACATGTCAACATGAATAATATTCCCTGTAAAACCACATCTGAGGCCTGTCATCCTACCTCCTGCAGCAGGATTTTGGATGACCCTGTCCTCTAGAGCTCTGGGTTTCGGAGAAAGCAGCACCAGGCGGCCCAGGATTTGAAGAACCAACACCCGGACAAAGCGGGGAACAGGACGGTAGTGGGCGGAGCCACACAGCAGGTTGGTGATGAGAATGGTCTCCAGTAAACTAGCCACCATCATAGTCAGGCACAGAGACAGGAACACATCTAGGACAATATTGATAAATGCTTTTTAAAATGATCCTTTACATTGCAGGCTAAACCAAAAAAACAACAACAAAGCACTGTAACACGCTGAAAGTCTATACATTTAAGTAAGTAATAAATGTATACAATTATCGTACTTTAAATACATACTTTAAACATAGTAAGCAGGTAAGATCTGGCAGTTGCAGGGTTTACTAAAATGAACATTTAAAAAAGACAGAAACACTTCATACCCTATCGGTTCTTTTTACACAGTGAATCAGACTGCTGTCAGGCAAGACAACGTTACAAGTAGCCCAAGAGTATTCATGCAAAATCACAATTTCTAGTGACCCAAACATTAGTTAGTTAAACTGACTTATGAGTGGTATGGTGTCCCCAGTGATGGGCAGCAGGTCATTCATGCTGAACAGGAAGACTGTGTAGCCTAAGATCAGGGTCATCTTGAACAAGGACCGGTCGACGCTCTTGGGAGGCAGCACAAAGCTGAAGAGGTCGACTGTAATGAGGAAGCAGCTGGGGATCAACAAGTTCACCACGTACAGGGTGGCCTGGCGCCTCACTGAGACCTGAAACAGTCCACAGCAAATGGTAGACTTCACTTGTTAATTTTCTGCTGCTTGGGATACACTGTAATTTAACACAGGTTAGAGTTGTGCACAACAGCTTTGGCTGGATGGTTTTATGACATAACTTTACTGTAAAGCTAATTGTTTTTCTCCTTTCTATATTGCCAAATAAAAGACAACACATATCCAATTAAGAACATCTTGTTTGTGAAAGCTCTTTCTAGTTTACATCAGCACTGCAGACTCCATACCGTGGTTGACATTTAACACATCCTTCAACACGTTTGGGTCAAAATGTTAAGATACAAAAACAAATCTTCTTCAATAAAAAAGGTTTAAATACATTTTATTATGTTTTGATGACTGCACTAGTGACTGTTAGCTACTGTTCACATCATTAAATCTCTGTGAATAATCATATTTTTCCCTTTAATATTTAAATTTGACCCTGAAATTCTTCAAACACAAATTATAAAGCATTTAGTCACATAGTCTAAACTCTTTCCCTGACTTGTCAATCCACCATCCTCCCTGTTGTTCAAAGAAACAAAACAGTATAATGTGGCACTTTGAAAGGGTAAAGTGTGAAGTTATCTTTTCTTACATAGAAGCGAACCTCTTGGTAAGGATCTCCTAATGTAGTCGGATATATGTACGTCTTCACTGTGATTCCGACCAGTTGCCATTCACCCTTAGACGTCATCACTTGTTTAGAGAGTTCTACTATTTTCTCTATGGGCGAGTGGTTGACGTAGATAGCAGAAACTGAAAAAATGAATTATCAAGTCAATCTACAGTATGTCTAGTTCCATTTAAAAGATAAAAAACCCATTTCAATTAAATATATAGAATATATAAGAGTCAGCAAGGGATAACTGGTGTATCTCATGCTTGAATTCTTACTAGTGTGTAAGTAGGAGTTGAAGCTCAAAGTGCAGTTCTGGATGTCAAATGGAAACGTGTAGATGTCCAGTCTGCAGGAGCTGACGACTCTGACAGGGATTTCATCTATCACACGGCCATCAGAAAACAGGTAGCTGTACGGGACGAATGGAGCCGAGTTCTTCTCCATACTACAGGAAGAGAAAGCACATAAAAGAAAGTGTTGGGAAAATCAGAGTAGTGTGTGAATCCCTGTAAGATTATTAACAGTAAATGCAGTTAAAATAGCGTTTTGGATGAAAGATGAAAGTCTTGAAGTACTTCAACTAAGTCCAGTTGTCACCGGGATCTAGATGTAAAATTACCATGACCTGGATATCTGAGAACCTTCACAGACGGGGAGTTGAATATAATTCTGTAAACCTGTCAGTGAATACGTGTCTTTAATGTTGGGATCAATGAAAATAATTTATTCAACTGACAGCTAAAGATGCCTTAACATAGCATATAGTACTTACAACTCATTGATAACCACATCTGGTACCCAGAGCAGATTCCTTGGGATTGTAATCCACGACGAACCGCACTGTTCTGGGTCCCAGCTGACAAACTCATTTCTCCACACCTGCATCATGAATCAGACAGATACAACACATAGCAGAACAAAGAAACTGCAATCATATTTTTCCTTGTACTCTGTGTGGTTATTTGTAAAGAAAGTTCTTACCAAAGTTTGCCAGATATACGTCGTCAGGAGTTGCACCTTTTCATCCTGAAAGAGAACAGACATTGGTTTTATGCTTTCTTTTCTAATGGCCGTTCTCTCACCTGTTACACTCAGTGAATGGTTTTTAGGTTGACCTAGTGCCCCTTACCACTCCTAAAATTCCAGCCAGGATAAAGTCAATGGTGACATTGGTTGGGGTCGACATGTCCGTCACAGGTCTAATGGTACCCAGGTCGAACACCGGTTTCAGAGCCTCCAGCAGCGACAGCGGGTCAGGTCGGGTACAGTTTAGCATGGCGGGGCTGCACGGGGCTGCAAAGGGAAGAAAAAAGGTGTCATTATCATAGCTGGAGTAGACCTCATATAAGTAAACAATTGGTCCTAAACACTGTTCTCTGCAGGTTGACTCTGTTTAAAAAAAAGGTGTCTTTTTCATTTAAAAAACCTTTAGATGTTATTTAGAGGGCTTAAGACTACATCTTCCAAATAATTTTTAATAAATATCTCAAATATTGCCTTTATTTGATGGTACACACTGGTCTAAGTTTGCCTAATCATTTAAATATCTCAGTAAATTCTAAATCCTCTGACTTCAGGGATACTGGACATGGCTGCACACTCAACTGATAGAAAAAAAGCAAAAAAGTATAATCAGCTGCTGGTCACTTGGTAAACATATATAATATGTTTTCATAGGAAGAAGAAGCTTTACTTACCATACAAGAGTAGAGAGATGAAGACGAAAAGAACCTTAGAAGGCTTGACTTTCAGCGGGCAGCACTAAAAACATCAACATTGGGTCAAAAGCAATTGTTAGTCTGATGGTGTGCTAGTGGTCAGAGTCAGTGCTCAGTTACTCTTTTCAAAGTTTTGAAATTTGAGTCATTAGAGTACCTAAATACTAAAGGATAGTTCAATTTTGAAGAAGCATTAGCTAATGACATCAGGCCAAAAATATAAACAAAAAAACTTAGCATTAAGTATTTTTAAATACATTTTTAGCTGGGTTAGATGATAACTCATCCGTTAAATATATTTGAATATTTGTGATATGGTTATTTCAGAGAAGTTTGAGTTGGCGCACTTTGTGAAATTCTGATTACCTTATGTTCAAATACATTTTTGGGACAATGACATATGTCTAATTTTTATGTGTACGGGTTACATTTTGATCTCTGTCGGGGTTCTTCAGGCAGGTTAATATATCCGTATGGGAGGGGGGTTCAGCGGCTGTTGTTAGATGTAACAAATGTTTCATGTTGTTTGTTTTGAATTTACCTCGGGATCAATAAATGATCTGTCCATCTATCTTTTGTGCTGGGGGAGAATTTTATTGTCTTACCAATTATAATCTTAGTGCAGATTAACCTTGAGTCGTGGTATACTGTCATATTAAAATATAATGTGAAATAAACGTCAATAAAAGCCGAATGAAATTTTTCAAGTGATTTTATTTTGTTTACAATGGTTATCTCAATTTTAAAAGGTACAATATTACACAAAAGCTTTAAGCTACATCTAGTTAATGAAGAAGAGCTAATTTAATGTTGGAATATAACCATTCGCTATCACTAACAATGATATTGTAACTTTCTATATGTATAAATACTCGGGCTCCAAAACAAATCATCAACATACATTACAAATGAGATTATATAATAAAAGTTCAACAAATTTTAGCCACTAGCTACATTAAAAGAGCCCTTTAGACAACAGTTATCTACGAACTGTAAGAGTTCACCCAGATAATGATGATGGTAATGAAGCTGACTGATATGAAGAGGATGTAGAGGCCAAACAGCAGGCGGTCAATGATGAAACCCACCTGGATCCACTCTTCAGAGCTCTCGCTTTGGCCCATCTGCTTCTCCACCTGGAGACGGATGGCCTGGAGGTCTTTACCCAGACTCCTCAGCTCCTGAACGGCCCTGCCCTCGGCACCAGACCCCGATACATCTGAAGGCCCTTCATTCGCTGTCCGCTTTGCCACCACAGGCATTTCTAGTTTCAAAAAAGTTTAAGTATAAGAGAAATCAATCCAGAAAATGCAGTTTTTCAAATGTACTCATACATGTGGTGAACTTGAATAAGCAGTCATGTTGATTAATCTGATCTTCACTGTATGCCTATATTCCCTTTTTTTTTTCTAAATTTCACACTTGCCCAATATCACACTCAAGGTTGTGCTGTTGTACAGGATATGAGCAGGACTATGATTGGCCGTGCAGCCTAATTCTAAAGATAATAACAGCTGTGCTGCTTTTCATAACAAAAGCACAACCTGAAATGTTAATACTACTTTAACTTGATGCAAATTGTAGTTAAACATAAAGAGACACTTTAGCATTGCTCCACTTACGCAACTCATTTCACAATTTATAGACACACTACTTTGTATTAAATACATCTATCTGTTTGTTTCTCTTTAACATGAAATAAGAGTCTACAAGAAACTGCCTATGATCTGTGTACCGAAGCGCTTTGTTTTTTTTGTCCTCTGAGGCAGGCAAACAACGCAGCCCAGGAACTGTAGGACAATCACACGGATCCAGTGCGGAAGGGGAGAGAAATCAGCAGAGCCATTCAGCAGGTGATGTGGATTTCCTTGTTGTTGACATGTTTGATGATGAAGAAATTCTCCGTTGACACTGACTTGCTTACATAATGATCATTTTATTGACAAACAAGTTACAGCATCGCCAGGCTCGCCATGGTTCGACCTGGGAGAGACACAGCCAAAAGTGATCTCTCCCCTTACACACAGAAACTCTGGTATTTATGGACACACCTCACAGGAGAACAACATAGGGACATCTATTTGTTTTCAGGACACCCCTCTTCATACAACTGCAGGGGTTTCTGTCTTAGTCATATGTATGTCATATGTATGTCATAAACTCAAAGGACAACACAGGTCACAGATACAATCTCTTGTCCAGAAGTCCCTGGGCAACTCTCTGGATACAGGGACCCCATTGTATACATTCCACTGAGAGGGCTCCTAAATCTCCTTCAGATACTCCTCCTGATGCGCCCATTGTAAACTTATATTACCTCTGTCCTGGTTACATCAGACACTTCATAGTCCCCCCCTAGCGAGACTATAGTCTCGCAAACAAGAAATTATACAATTATGATGTTAATTAGCCTCATACGAATCACTTCTGTCCATGCTTAACCTTAGTAATATAGTAAAATTTTATTTGTGGAGTGTGAGAGCGAAAAACCCATCAAGCAGCTATCTTTCTTTATTATCCATCAAACAATCTAGACAGGAAAACTCTCTCACGGTCCCTCTGCCCCAGGCAACCACCTATGGTACTCCAAACCAATTAAAAAGAAAAAGCTTATGAAAACTTTTTAGGATGATATATAAATGCACACATTCAAAACCTCAGAAATAAAATCTAAAAATTGTCCAAAGTCAGGCTGGTCGACCCATCGCACCTTCCAATGGACCTCTCCCTACCTAACATTACTTTCCCTAAGGATCGATAAAGAAAGAAAACACCTGAGGTCCCAATATATGCATCCTATACAGTTCCAGAAAAATATGTCTTGCTAAAAATATCTACTATAAAGTAAAACATACAAAAATATGGTATCAATATTACAAGTTACATTGTAATAAACCCTCAATGATTTTTCAATCGAAACCCCTCATCATGATGTCTTCATTCAGGTTTCCGTTGTCCATTTCCATCCTCCATTTTCTTAAGTTTGGTTGTTTCAACTCCATTAATCTGGAAGGATCTCTGGACAATCAGCCACCCTCACATTGGTCTCCCAAATATCATCCTGGAAGAAAAATCAACAGCCAGTATCTTTGTACATACAAAAACATCAAAGATATTCATTTTTGTATCATACTTTCACATTATTCCACTACATGATTAACATATACATGATTAATATACATGATTAAAATATTCAGTTCCCCCTTTTATCAATTCACTTCCAGTTCAAAATAATAGTGAGTCAATGTTGAATTCAGATATTCAAAAATGGATATTTCTCTCCAATCTCTATGACCTCCTCACCTTCACTTAGGTCATTACCACTCAGTAGCCACAAGAATCTGAAACACTATAGATCCTATTGGTCCTAATTGTTATTGCATCCAAACATTCACAGACCATCCTGCTCCTTCTGATGGACCAAATGAATCCCTAATTAGTTTCAAAGCATCTATGACACTAGTCATATTGTCAGTAGCATCAGGAATCAAAGTATAACAGGCTTCTCCAGTTAGATTCAAAGCTACACAGAGGCCACCTTGTTTGGCCAAAATGTAATCAAAAGCCATGTCATGTTTCAGCAACGTCAATCGATGACTCCTCTGAGTATTCGACAAATATTCAAAACCTTTTATGGTCTCGTTTGCAAAACTTTGCAGGGTATATGTAATATTATCAATATGATCAGCTAAGTATATAACACCATACCATGGAAACAATCCTATTCCCCATTTCTCTCCCAAACTTATCCTCCAATGATAAGACTCCAAGTTGTGAAATTGTGCCAAATCTCTTTTCTTTCTACTGCTAGAGATTGTCGTAGAGTTATCCTCATCAGACCCTTTTCCCTTCTGAATAACAAAAACATCATACGGAAGTTTCAACTGTGCCATATAACAACATCCAATCCAACCATAAGGTAAAAATAAGTATGCCTTATCACCACAAATCCACCAGATATCTTTAAATGTTCCTATGGTAAAATTACCCTGTAATATCTTCATACTGATAAAGGAGATTTATATATGATAACTTCTTCAACCAAGCACAATTCCCTTGAGGTGTAAATAGATGCACCGACACGGCCATCCAATAATCATATGGTGCTTGTTGCTTAAATACCAACCACGATGGCGCATAATTTTGACATTTAGAAGTTAAAGGTTCTGGTACCATCTCTAGAATTGAAGGCCATGTGCCTGGTGCTGGAACTCTCACAACACACGGACCACTCAAATTACTAGCCAATCTAACAGAGTGAGTCAACTGTTGGTACCACATATTTCTA